ATCAGAAAAGCAAAGTAGCCACGCCAGTAGATCTTACCTCTACCTCAGATTAAAATGAGTGATTCTGTCTCCATGAATTCTCAGAGGCAAATGCTCTGAGTTCCTGTCTCCTCCCGCCTTATATACCTTTCTCTGCCCAGCCATGTCATTCCTGTCTCCACCTCCCTAGTGCTGGGATCAAAGGTATGTGATCCCAAGTGCTGGGATCAAAGACATGAACTCTGCTACTCTTCACTCTTGTGTAGGCTAAGATGGCCTTGAACTCAGAGAAATCCATCTGCCTGTCTCCTGAGTCCTGGGATTAAAGATGTGTATTACCATTGCCTGGCTCTATGACTTGTGGCTGACTTTGCTTTCTGAAAGTTTCAGGCAAGCTTTAATAAATCATAAATAATACATCACCACAGTTCCATAGCAGCAATTGTGAATGACGCAACAGTGAACATTGATGTATTGACCTGAAGCCTTGGCTAAAACCAGGAGTGGCTGAGCCAAATGAAAGGTCACTTGTTACTGTCATTGCTCACTTTGCTTTCCAATCCACCTTTAATATATTGGTTTGATAAACTGTGGACACACGCAGCTCCACTTCCCACTGCAGAGGCTCAAGCACTCTCTGAAGGAAAAGCTTTGAAGCGGGTTAATCATCAAAGCTCTTCTAGAGTACCCATGCTTTCAAAGGCTTTTTAGAGGCCAGAGCTCCCTTCTGTGCATCCATGGCAAATAGTTGCAGTAACCCTGAATTTATGAGAAGAAAAAAATTTCACATTTCTTTTTCACCGAAGACTTGGTGTGTGTGTGTTTTATTGAAAATGATTTTTCCACACAGTGTAGTCTGATCACGATTCTCCCTCCCCCAACTCCTCCCAGATCCTCTCCACTTCACTACCCACAAATCCACACCCCTTCTCCCTTCTTTATCTTTAGAAAAAGAACAGTTAAATGAAAACCTGCAAGCGAACCTGAATTTTGCACAAACCACACAAACACACACACACACACACACACACACACACACACACACACACACACACACCAGAAACCATAATATACAAGCAAAAGACCAGCAAGACAAAAAAATACCCACACAAAAATACTTGAGACAAAAAGTCTACAAAAAAATGCCATTTTATCTTGGCCATCTATTGCTAGGCATGTAGCCTACCCTTAAGTATGGAGAAAACTAACTTTTCGTTTGTAAGTTGTCAATTGGAAATAGGTTCTTGCTTTAGGTGGAAGCTTGTATCCACTTCACCTCCCAGCCCTGGGGCCACATCTGACTTAGACCTATGTAGGCCCTGTGCATGCTGCCACAGCCTCTGTGAGTTCATTTATGTGTCAGTCCTCTGTTGTGTCTGGAAGACACTGTCCTTGGTGTCCCCATCTCCTTACCTCTTGCCATCTTCCTCTTCCTCTTTTACATAGCTCCTGAACCCTGAGGGGTGGGGATCAATGAAGACATTTCATCTCATCTTTTGAAAACTGTTCATTTCGTTAGTATTTATGGATTGGTTGTTTTCATGTCCGATGTTTTGAGTTCTTTGTATGTTCTGTGTTCTAGAAATTAATCTTCTTTTCTGATGTGCAGGTAGCAAAGATTTTTCTCCCATCCTGTAGGCTTTCCCTTCACTTGATTAACTGTTTGCTGTGAAGAAGCTTTTCAATGTCAGGGAATCATGTTTGCTGATTTGTTGGCATTATTTTCCAAGCACCCAGAATCCTATGGAGGTCTGTGACTCTGTATCATCAGTCACTCTCCCTATGTCTTCCTCTAGCAGTTTCAGGGTCTCAGGTCTCATACTAAGATCACTGATGTGGGTCACACCTCTGGGCAGTCCTTCAGGATTGTGAATTCTGGTCCTTCACCTGTGCAGCCATTCCCAATATTTGGTTCACTTCTTGGAGATGGTGTCTGCATATTCTCCTATAGTTTTTGCTGTCAGAACTGCTCCTAAAGAGATGTGAGTGAGGTGTCAAGGCCTCTCTGGTGCTGCCTTCTCTACCTGGAAGATGAAGATGGATCCCTGCCTCACCACTGGTGCCTGGTCCCTCTGTGGGCTGCTTCTGGCTGCGCTCACCAGCGACCCCCACACCCTGTGCTGCTGGACAACCTCAATGTGCAGAAAAGGCACTCAGTGTTCTTCTACAACCTGAACGACCAGGGCTTTGAATTCACTTAGCTTGTTCCTCACTAAGTACAGGGAGTTCCTCTGTGACAACCTCATCATTTTCTCCCCCTCAGTGAAAGACTTTGGAGCCAACAGGAAACCATTGGTGCCTTCATTGACGGTGGCAGCAGTGTTTGGGAGGTTGCCAGCTCTGACATCAGTGACACTCTTTAGGACCTGGACAGTGAGCATGGGATTTAATTTGATGGAGAGAAAACAGCTGTCATTGACCATCACAATTACAATGTCTGAGACTTTAACCAGCATACACTCAACGTGGCTGACACTGAGAACCTACTGAAGGCCCCAACCATTGATGGGACCCATTCTCTTCCAAAGAGTTGGAATGGTGGCAGTCCCTTGGTTTTGGATGTCCTAACAGGCTCTTCAACCTCTTCCACCTTCCCAAACAAGCCAGTACCACCATACATTGGGAAGAGCACTCTCCCAATCTCAGGACTCTGAGCCAAGTACAATGCCCAGGTCATCTTCAGCGGCTCCCTGGATTTCTTCATCGATGCCTTCAATCCAGCAGTGCAGAAGGCCACACCCAGCACCCAGAGGTATTCTCAGTCAGATAACTATGAGCTAGCTAAGGCTCTTTACTGCTTCGTGTTCAAGGAGGAAGGTGTCCTCTGTGTGGGGCCTGTGTGCTATCATCAGGTGGACGAGATGGCCCCACCCAATGCCTACACTATCACCGACCTAGTGGAGTACCACATTGCGATTGAGCAGCCCTCCGATGGCACATGGGTCCCCTTTGATGGTGACAACATTCAGCTGGATTTCCTGCACATTGACCCCTCTGTGAGAACCTTCTTGAAGAGGAATGGTGTAAAGTACAGTGTCCAATTCAAGCTCGTTGGTGTGTATGGTGTATTCCAGTTTAAAGTGGATTACAACCGGCTAGGTCACACACACCTCTACACCTCCACCCAGCTGTCAGTGAAGCTGCCCAGCACAGTATGAGTGCTTCATCCACTCAGCCTATCCCTCCTACGCCAGTGCCTTCTCCATGGTGGCCAGGTTCTTCATCTTCAGCATCATCTTTTTACACATGAAGGAAAAGATGTCTGACTAAGCCAGAACCTGGGACTCTTCCACACAGCAGGGAGATGGCAAGAGGATTTCAAAGACTGGTACTTTTTAAAGGCCATGGCAAAGTGGCATAGCCTTATCTCAGAGAGTGATGACTATGGGGTGGGGAAAGGGAAACATTTTTTTTCTGTAAGTTTTCTCATTTTGAATCACTCTGTGGCATTTTTCATAAGTATAGCCACCAGATTTCTAAAATGAAGAGAACAACTGCCCTCTTCAACCCCCCCAAAAACAACAAACAAACAAACAAATGAAAAACCCACAAAGAGATGTGAATGAATGTCTATTTGCCCCTGATAGGGTACCAAAGCAAAGATTATCCCCAAAACTCAGCTTGGTGAACCAATGAGTTTATTGGGCTCATGGACAGAGGGCAAGAGAGGAATTACTCACAGGAGTATGATGTACTTCACTACAAAGCCCACCCCAGCCCAGCATGAATGGATGAGGCACCAGGAAGGCCCTCTTCGGGATAGCCTTCTTCTTTCTGGACACTTGAACATTTTCTGAGATCACTTGCAGCTCTGGGTTGGGGTAAGCATGATGGCTAGAATTCCAAGTGAAAACATCACGACTCTCCTTCCTTCGTGGCTACCAAGCCAAGGTAATCTCCACCTCACGATAGCAATGTGGTGACCATGTTATGGCTGGAAGGAAAGGCTGAATGACAACTCTCTGGTTTGAACCAGGTTCCCACCACACTGTATACTATACAATTGTGTTTCGAAGTTTCTTCTCTGTAGCATAGCCTTCTGTTTGCCAGTTTTCAGGCTGTAGCCCCATGACACTTGCTCTGAGGTCTCTAAAAGTGTGTATACTTCACAGACAGTCACACCTTGTGCAGTGCACTGGGCCCTTTGGAACTGGTGTCTGTGGCTGCTAAGTACCAAGTGCCCAGAAGGGTTTCTCTTCTGTCTCCTCCTGCCAGCATAATGCCAGACGTCTTTTACACAGCGCCCACATTTTTCTGTTCCTTAAAGTATCCACTCCTGATAGTGTCATGCAGGTTCAGAGATCTTTCTTCATAGTATGACACTACCATCCTTACATTCCCTGGCTGGGTACATACCTAGGAACTAATTTGAAGTTTGGACTAGCATAAAAACCAATAATGGGAAAGTAAGATAAATCTCAATACCGCTTTAAGCACTTACAGACTATACAGTAGATGTTGGACATGAGTTATGGCATCATTCTTTACAAGGAGATACTGTTGTTCTCAGGGTAGGATGAGGGCTTGGGGTTTGCCCAGTCAGTCTTTGGGGATTACAGTTGGGCTAACCCTATCCCAAAGCTAGAGAGTTAGTGGTATGGACAACTCGTGGAATGCATGTCTATGTGGCTAATCACCTGTGGTTAGTGCTCATTGTGTGTTACATTTTAAGATGTATCTTGTTGCACAGATTTAAGGTAACTTGCAACAGTTGCTACTCTCTTTCCAGTTCAGCATCCTGAGCCCTTTAGTCTCTATTGGGGCTTAGAGTGGGGCCAGTTTTCTGTCCTCCTGGCCTCTACTAGAGAGACTGTGAATGTTCCCTGGGTAGCAGCTGCTGTGGCTGTCCCTTCTGAGTCTCTGAAACACCTGCCCTGGCAAGGGATCTTTCTATTAAAGGTTGGTTTGCTAGTGTGAAGGATTGGAGCCTTCAAGATTGGTCTACTCATGACAGATGACACACACTGTGATAGTCTCCATTTTGCTGTTCACTGAGAATTTTTCTTGATTCATTTTAACAGATCTCAAGAAAACCTCCAATTCAAATGCTGCAAAATCCAGTCTACCAAAATCTGGGCTCCGTCCTCCTGGTTACTCACGTCTCCCAGCAGCTAAGCTGGCGGCCTTCGGCTTCGTGAGGAGCTCCAGTGTCTCTGCAGTGCCCAGCACCCAGTCCATGGACACTGTGCAGCCGGAGCAGAGCCGGCCGGCCACCCGTGAGTGGGGCAAAGAGGCTGAGGGTGGGTGGAGGATACTGTGCCCTTCTGGGGGCTGATAGAGGGCAGACGATGCCTGAGGATTTTGTGTTCTGTCTTCGTTTGGTTCATTAAGAACTTGGATCTACTACTTTAATCTATCATCACGTTTCCATCATCCACCAAAGAAAAATAACCTATTTGATACTATCCTTTTTCTCAATCATGGGAAGTTAATACCTTTGCAGTGGGCCCAGGCTTAGTTCCCAGAACCCATACTGGGCAGCTTATAACTACCTGGATCAAGGCTATCTGATGTCTTCTTCTAGTCTCTGTGAGCACTACATGCATGTGGTACATACATACATACACACATGCATACATACATACATACATACATACATACATACATACATACACACATGCATACATACATACATGCACACACACATACACACAGATACACACATGCATAATACACACACATGCATACACACATACATGCACACACATACACACATACATGCAGGCACACACATACACACATACATGCAGGCACACACATACACATGTACACACACACTAAAATGAATAACTCTTAAAAGAACCTTCCTGTGACTATTGCTGAGGTCATTCATGAGAGAGTGTTTGGGTTTCCAATCATAGACAGCTTGATTTGGAAAGATGAGATAAAACTCATGAAGTGACTGAGTTTTTATTTCTGAAGATGAGCACATATCCCTTTAATTATTGACTAGGATCTGGGTTCTGGGGGGGGGGTAGTTTGAAGTAGAAAATCACCAGTCTCTTTGGAAGGTTAATCAATGAAAATGAGGGCTAATATGAAAGATTTTTGCAATGTTAACTCAGCATTACGCTCATGAATACTATAAAATGCATTTACATACGTAGCTCATTTGATTATCTGTGTCTGACAAGCATTTTAAATAAGATCAGAGTTGACGAGAAGTGTTATTAATAACTCCTACAGAAACCATCATCAGCCCGTCTCATGTTCCACTGACAAAGAGGGAGTCATTTTTTATTCATGGAAAAAGGAGCTGCCAGTGACCTGAGAGGTCAGGTTCCCCAGAAGCTATTTCTCATCTGAGATTAAACCTTATTGATGTCTGTTTTCATTCTTCAGCTCTGGGCACTGATCAACTCCACCCCAAGATGGGAGTCGAGTATGAGCTTGTGGTTTTTTGTTAAGAAAATGGCTTGTTTACAGTTGTTAATATGAACTATAAACTGGAGCTTTTGTTTATAGTTTTATTATAAGAACAGCCATGTGTTTTGTTTTTGTTTTTGTTTTTGTTTTTGTTTTTTTTTTTTTGGCTGTCCCATTTTGCAAAGATTAGCTTTTTATCCTTTCGCCTCTTCTAAGTGTCAGCCCCCCCCTCCCCCATGCACTTGCATTAGGTAACTGATATGTACCTTAGGAGTCTTCTCCCTCTTGGGGACTGAAGATAGAGGATGAGGGTGAGCCTGTGCTGTGATTGAAGGCTGCATAGCCTCTGAAACAGGGTGAAGGAGGCACAGGAAGGCTGGGCATAGGGCTCCCCTTCAGCTGCTGTGAGGGCAGACCTGGGTGACTTGTCCAGCTAGTCCATGCTACTGTGTTCCAGGCTAGTCCATGCTACTGTGTTCCAGGCTAGTGTCATGCTACTGATCTATTTCTGTGGCTATTCTTCTATATCAGATATTTTCAGTAATGACAGCCTTCTGTTTTAGTGTAAAATACTCATGGACAAAAGCAAAAAAAAAAGTCTGGAGGTGGAGGAGGATAGATTAAAAACATGATTGCAAATTTTTGAAAGTCATTAAAACCAGAGAATGGTCTGTGAGGTTTATTGTGTGGTTTACTTTCCAGTGATGTGTGTTTTAGAATTTCCACAAAGAGATTAAAATCCCACCATCTCCATGGCTTGCTTTTATTTCTTTTTTCTTTTTCCTTCTTAAAATAACAGCTTTATTGAGCTGTAATTCACACACCATGTAATTCACTCCTTTAAAGTATACAATTCAGTGGGTTTTTTGGGTGTGTTTATAGGGTTGTGCAAACATCACTACAATAAAATTTGCAGCATTTCCATTATCCTCACCCAAAGAAACCTAGTATCCATTAATGCTCTCCCTGTTTCCATCCCGCCTTCAGCTCCACATAACCAATAATCTACTACTTTCTTTTTTTAATGGAAAAAAAAAACTTTTTTCATACAATATATTCTAATTACGGTTTTCTCTACCCCAACTCTTTCTAAATCCTCCCCATGGAGTTCGCTGAACTCCTCTTTCTCTCATCAGAAAACAAGCAAATGGAAAAATAAATAAACCAGAATAATAAGAAAGAAAAAGCACAATAAACACATATAGACACATACACACAAACCCCCAAGCCCCCACAAAATTGGAAATCATAACAACAAGCAAAAGACAAATAAAACAAAGAAAAATATCCAGAGTACTGTGAGACAAAAAGTCTACAAAGACACCATTGAGTCTGTTTTGCTTTATTTCATACATTACACTTGATGTTTCCAAGAAAGATCTTAGCCACCTTTGACCTTTTCTTCTGGTTTTGTTGCGTTATAATGGCACAGTTTCAACTTCTTTTCTAGTTTGCTTGTTACCATGATGAAATGCCACAAACAAAAGCAACCTGGCGAGGAGGTGGTTCATTATTACATGTCACAGCTGATCTTGGAGGGAAACCAGTGCAAGAACTCAAAGCAGGAACCTGCGGGCAGGAACTGAAGCAGAGAGGAGGAATGCAGCTCAGGCTTGCTCTCTGTGGCTTGCACGGCCTGCTTTCTTATACAGCCCAGGACCACGTACATGCTCAGGGTTGGCAGTACCCAGTGGGCTGGGCCCTCCAGAAAGTGCCCCACAAACATGCCTACAGGCTAATCTGATGGAGGCAATTTCTCGATTAAGAGTCCCTCTTCCCAAATGACTCGAGCTTGTGTGGAGTTGACAAAAACTAACCAGCTGAAATGCACAGCATGAAATTTCAGTATATCCCTCTATTATGAAGTGATTACTGAATCAAGCTAATTAACCTTAGTCACTTTGTGTAGTTGCTGCGTGCATCTGTTGGGACTGTTGTAGACCTGATCTCTTAGCACATGGAAGTATATGACTCAGAACGGTTGGCTGTCACACTATACTGTGAATGAGAGCTCCAGAGCCTGGCTGCCCTGAGTCAATAGAAGTTTGTTCTGTTTGTTTTAAGAGATGCTGCATCATAGAGGTGGGGGACGTGTACTCTACAGACAGTAGGATTTGCCTATCACCTCTGCATTTATCAGACCCATGACTTGGGGTAAATTATTGTGCTTCTGTGTCTTCATAGTGAAACAATGTTAATAATACTTGAGCAAGGTTTAAAACCATCAATAGGGCTAATAGGATTACTAATTGGAAGTAATAGATACAGAGTGTTTAGAACAAGGCTTTTCACAAAAATAATTAATTTTTCTTAGGCCGTTTCCATCTGTGGGCCATGTGCAATAAAGTTCAATGTTGAGGATTCCAAAGCCCAGATGAGAAAATGGCCATGTTGGATTAACAGTGTCCAAAATAAGGAACAAGCAAGGGAAGCTGTCTTCATAGTTCCTTGTTATGGTTAAGAAAACACTGAAGACAGAGAGGTGACTCTCATTCCATTTCAAACATTTCATAATCACCTCCTACATATAGTGATCAATTAACACTTTGGGTGTTAAACTAAAACTTGAGCTGGAGAGATGGCTCAGCGGTTAAAGCACTGGTTGCCCTTCCAGAGGACCTAGCTTGGTTCCCAGCACCCACAAGGTGACTCTCAACTCTCTGTAACTCCAGTCCCAGGGGATCTAATGCAATTGCCTGCCTCTACTGTCACCAGGCATGCATGCATGTGTTACACGTATATACATACAGGTAAAAACTCACATATATAAAAGAAAAAAAATATAAATTAAGACATCATTTTTGAGGCTTGAAGTTGATTTTCATGGGATTTTCTTACTTTGGGGCTGAAGTTTATATATCAGTTTGATATCTAAAGAGACAAAGACAAGGGAAGCTAGAGAGGCCTGTGCCAAGTCTTTAACTTTGGAGTAGGGGGTTAAGACAGGGTTTCTCTGCATAACCACCCGGCTGTCCTGGAACTCACTCTGTAGACCAGGCTGGTCTCAAACTCATAGAGATCTGCCTGCCTCTGCCTCCCAAGTGCTGTGATCAAAGGTGTGTGCCACCACTCTGCCTGGCAGGTCTTTAACATTTTATAGTGTGTAAGGAGATATATTTAATTAGTTTCTCTTAAAGAAACATTTTTGAAAGGTGACCTTAGTCTAAGCTGGTGACATTTAAACCCTCTGCTCAAAATAGAACTGTGAGTTGGAGCTGACTTTCTTTCTGTGGCTTTTCAGGGTCTGCTGGGGACAGGGTGGGTGTTTGATTTTACAGTGTATGAAAGGCTTCATACAGCTTCCCATTTGCTGGGGTCTAATTTCCAGTGTTCTGCTATTGACTCGAGTATCTCAATTCAACTTGGGTGGGAAAAGAAAAGAAGACTGAGAATAAAATCCACAATGCACTTCTAATTTTCTGTAAAATTGCAGAAGTCAAGCAAATGTCACTGACAGATTTGAGTATCTGCCTCCTTGGAATCTGTAATTATATAATCTGAAGTATTCTTCCTAAGGAAAAGACATAGAGCCATCTCCCTTGAGTCTTGTTGATACTTTTCTCAGTGGTTCCCACACATTCTAGTTCTTCCTCTTTCTCCCTACACATTTACACAGAAGAACATGAGTTTTCTGCATGTGACTTAGTGCTGTTTATATGGGAAACTGGTTTCTGTGCCTTGGAAGTAACAATTATCCTCCTGACTCAGACAGTCTGGGGGAAATCTAGCAGAAATCACATAGTCTCTCAAAAGCATTTTCAGCTTTATAAATGTCATATTTTATCATTCAAGATACTTCATGAAGAAAAGATACCTTGGGTCACAGTTGAGTCATCGGAACCAGCAGTTA